AGAAGGAAGTGAACAGGAGGGAGGAAGTACGTAGTCCTCGACGATGTGGGCCATGCCAATGTGAGCGTGGATGGGGAGAAGGAAGCCAAGGGCAAGATCGACGGGGAGGACCACACTCGAGGGGGCCACAAGGGCGATGGGGATGAGGGTCACCAAGCCGATCGATGTGTAGTGGTAGAGGCGGTGCTTGCCGGCACCTTTTAGAGACAAAGGGAAATTCTCCCCCTCAGCATCGAAGGGTCGATTAAAGCTAAAAATTGGAGCGATTACGCACCAGTGGCGGGAAGAACGGTATCGAGCACCGAGGACTCAGTGGAGGTGGCATAGAGACGACGGGCGGCTCCTCGCGAGGCACCAGCGGCGGAAGGAGCAGCACGAGCGGAGAACAAAGCAGTAGCGCGCCTCATGTTCGTATTTCTATTCTTCCGATCGAACCAAAATCGTAGATGATGTTTGAATCAACAACGCCGAGAAAAGCAGGGAAACACGACACTGCACGAATTTCTTAGCAATCAACTATTGTGCGCGAAATGTGCAACATTGGTAAAAGTGCCTAGGATTTCGTCAAGAATCGCGCTAATTCCAAGAGTTGGCACTCGGTCGCGGCAGTTTGAGCTTTGGAGCAAAGGCACAAACGGCAAGGCTAACAGCTCCAAGATTACCACACGAAGATGAAGTACATGGTTGCAGTTGATGGGTCTAGCAGCGCGATGCATGCGTTCTGGTGGGTGCTGCATCATGCCACGCCTGAAGATTACGTCTACCTCATCCACATCTACAAAGTCGAAGGTTGGTACCTCCACGCACCAGTAATCACATTGCACTACTGCACTTGGTGGTGGTTGGGGGGGGGGTGGACGCATGGACCTAACGCCACCGCAGTGCACTCCTTAGCTGTGACGTTTGTGGAGTCTGATTACCGGACTCTGGTCGGCGGACACCTGCGCAGGAATGGAGAAGCACTTCTCAAACGACTATCACGCAAGCTCAAGAACAGAAATGTACGTAGCCAGCGTCAACATCGTGAAGAGGGTGTGGCGCTCAGCATTCTCTCTCTCTCGTTTGTGGCTCCAGATTCCACGCACGATGCTCTTAGGCGAAGGAGAAGCAAAGCAAAAGATACCAAAGAAGGTGGAGAAGCTGGGAGTTGATATGATTGTAATGGGCCGACGTGGAATGAACAAAGCAAAGAGGTACACTTGCTGCTCTCCTTCCTGCATGGTCACGTGCTGACTGCAGCTTCTTCTGCTGGCTGGGCGCGTGCAGGTTGTATGTTGGTAGCGTCAGCCAGTATGTGGTTGAGCACGCCCCATGTGCCGTTTGTGTGGTGAAGGAGGAGGTCGCCAAGCCGAAGCGTACAGAGCAGGCAGGCTCGCGAAGGACTTTGATGGAGACCCAAACTGAGCTGGGGAAGAACCATTCAAACGAAGAGCCAACCCCGTGAAATGGACAGCTTCATAAAAAGCCACCAACGTGCAAATATTTCAATATTTATTTTTATGGTTGTGGTAAATGCTTGCTATCTACAATGATCTCTGGTGCTAGTGCGATTCGCGGGAGCTTCGAACACATCGCTTGTAGTACGGGAATGGGGAGACCGTTTGCCTTCAGGGAGGCAAATCTCCTCTTCTGGTAGTCGATGTGGGCATACTTGCGCGCCACGTAGGCAGAAGGGTCGTCATAGCCCCAGCGTAGTGCGAACGTGGAGAATAGGCTCATGATCGATGAGAGATGGAAAGATCCCGTATGATATACGGGAAGATGGGCACACGGGATTTGAAGAAGCTACGAAGGCTGCAGGATGCTGTGGCGTAATTGCTTTGGGATGGAACCTCTTCTTGACGTCCTGTCAGGCTCTTTCCAGAAGCGGGTAGTCGTTTTGTTGAGCGGTGTGCTCTTGTGTGTGAAACAGACAACTGTAATTAGGTCAGGATCACACGTCTGCCCCTACAAGCAATTATTATTTCGTGAAGTTTTGGCCGAAGGACAGCCACGTTGATGGAGGCACAAACCGAGAGGATGATGATTCAATCAAATGAAGAAACAACTCCAGGCACCCCGCCAACGCTGCCTGTTATTGACATCAGCCCATTTGTCGATGCCGAAAAGATGAAGGATGTGGAAGCGAGGAAGCAAGTAGCACAGCAGATTCATCATGCCTGTGCTGAGGTAGGATTCTTCTACATCACCAACCACGGTGTTGCGCCGGAGCTGGTGGAAGGCGTGCTGAGCATGGCGAGAGAGTTCTTTGGCCAACCAGTCGAGGAAAAGGAG